TACACAGGTGTTGAAAGCGCTTGCCGCTTAACGACAGGAACATGCTTCAACAGCATTTTAATGTGCACATTGATGATGTCCTGGCTGGCTCTGCTGCTCGGGTGCTCCGGTGCTCCGCTGTCGCCCTTTACTCTGCCGCCTACTGACCATGCGGTCAATGAGTGCTGGACAGCTGGAGGTGAAGCTGGTGCTTGAAGCGGAAACTGGAACTGGAACTGGGGTATTTGTAATGCCCTGTGTAGACAATGTGTAAACAAGGTTTACAAACGTGTCTGTCGTTAGAGATGGAGATGAATACAGAGATAGGCAGAGCGAAGGCTGGGCTCTGTTTACCCTTTCAGCTTGTCAACCACAGCAAATGATAACTGAACTGATGAGTAATTATGCACAGCCTTACCTCTACCTCTACCCCCACCTGTAACTCTGCCTGTAACTCTACCGCCCTCCCTCCCTCTCTACCTCTTTCTCTGTGCCTAGTTAAATATAGAATAGCAGCAACCGGAAAGCCTACAAATATTTAACAGTTGCCTTGGTTATTCGTTTGCCGCAAGATAAATGACTTTTCGAATGTCCTGCCAGCATAGCGAAGCGTTCACTCAATAAACCGGTGATATATGAAAGCTGTGAATATAAGACGAAGAAGGAGAAGAAAAAAAAAGAAGAAGAATACATGTGGCAAGGTGTGAACTTATTGACCTTGTATCATCGAATACAATTTCTATGTGAAAGTCTTGATTACTAACGATTGTTTCTATATACAAAAGATCTGTGAGCTGTGAATTCGACTAGTTCTTAGTCCACAAATCAAGCTAAAGCAACTCACTCCATATGAGTGAGTTCTCCATTTGGTGAACTAGTTTAATTTGAGGAACTACCTTCAAATGGATAAACAATTTTAGTTTGTTGAGCTGTTTGTTTTTCAATCAATGATGTTCAATTTGAATTGAAGCCTTTATTCAGTTTGATGAACAAGTTCAATTCGATGAACTAGTCAATTTGACGAACTAATCCAATTTGGTGAATCAAATAATTCATTGTGGTGGTAAGCCATTTATATTTCATATTGTGAACCTGATGAACTAGTTCCAATTGATAAACTGTCTCCATTTGAACAATACTGCTAAGCAACTAATTCATATGAACAATTGTAATAGCCCATGTACGGCCAGAGGCAGAGTTAGTTCCATTCGCTGACTCTGCGGCTCACTCATTCAATCATTTTCATGACAGCAAACAATGCGCGAGTCCAGCACACACTTACACACACACGCACACTCACACATGTCTGCGAGCACACAAATTATGTGTGCGGCATGCAGTGGAGCCTGTAATTGGGGGTTTGAGGGCCTTGACCGCAACAGAGTGCAAATTGTCACGTTCGTATGATTGGCGAGTTTTTCGGGCTGCGCATCGATTGGAGTTAATCATACGCACCGTTGTGCAATGGAAACAATTATTTTTAACCGCTAATGGAAGAGCGTTAAGTGAGCGACAAAAGATGATATGGAACGCATTGTGCCCAGCTGCCCCACTCTCCAGCTCCCAGATGCCCAGCTCCCCAGCTGCCCAGCTGCCCAGCTGCTGGCACTCACCGCAAATGAACCTACCTCGGTAATCAGGCAATCAGAGTCTGAGCCGAGCTGAGCTCAGCTGAGCAAAAGGACGAAGAACGAAGCGCACAGGCTGCGTGTCCATTGGCCCTTCCCTGGCCCCGGCCCTGGCACTGACTGTGCTTATTGTCCATTTCTTGCTTAGCAGACAATAATCGGTTTGTATACCCTGTACAGCCATCGATGACTGTGCTGAGAGCGGGTATATATTCATGGCTTTGACTGGAATGATTAGCTGAGCAGACTTATCCCATTTACGCTATTGCTCGTCTGTCTGTGTGAGGGAATCTCGAGCTATTATCCTGCGAATGGAGTGAGACCTAGCCAAGGGGTATCCCCTAGTCGCGCACCGTCCTTTGCTATTACCATGTCTCGAGCCTTCGAGGTAAGAGACAGACCTTTCATTGGCTGTGCCAATTAACATAAATGGCCAAGATAATGGCCTAGCAAGTGTGATATTCTAATATAATATGGAATACTGTATACATTAACCGATTGCTGCCCCGCATTTGACTGCATGAATGTGCGAAAATCGCAGTTAAAGTCACTTGTGGAGCCTAATAAAAGTCCCAAGTCTAATAGTCCAAATGAGCAGAGATAGAAACTATATAGGTGATACACATATGTATATACATCTGTGTGCAAAAGCAAAAGACTATAAATTTAATATACGTATGTGAATAGGAATATGTGTATATATACGAACTAGTTCAATTTCGGAAGCTCATTTAATTCGATAAACTGAAGTTTGCCAATAAACTTCACTTCTTCAGTGATGACTCGAGACACTGTTTAACTAGTTTCATTTCCTGAGCGACTTCACTTTGATGAACTAGTTCATTTTAATGAAGTAGCTCCACTTGATTAACTTGAAGCGGTTTCCCTTGATTAAGTTTGTTTTATTCGATGAACGAGCTGTCTATTCATTGTAGTCCGCAGCTCTTAGCCTGTACATTTATATACATATATATATATATTGACTTTCTTTCTTTTCTCTTTGGAATACGCTCCACTAAGAGTTTCGTGGTTTTATTATATCTGTTGGACATTTGCAAGCTAACTTTTACTTTGATTTCATTGCAGTGGGTCAAGGGCTAAGCATGCATGAAACTGTGTATGTGTGTGTGTGTGCGTGTGTATGGCATGTACATTTGTATGTGTGTATTTCCCTGTACATTGAAGCTTCGAAAATTGAGTCTTGTTCTGGCCCTTTGACAAGCGACAAAACTGATTGGCTATGCCGCAGCTGCGGGCCATGCATATATCTATATACATATATCTATATATATTCAATATGCATATATATGTATGTGCGTGTCTGTATATTTGCTCTCCATCTAAGCTGTGTCTCTGCATAAATTGATAACGAATAAAATAAAAACTCGGCAAGCGAGTGCAAACAGAAACCAAGAGGAAATTTAACATCATGTTTAATGTTTATTGCGGGCTGGCAGCCAGCTTGATAGGCTTCAGCGTGGGCGTGGCCCAGTGGGTGGCTGACTGCCGTCTGTGGGCTGTGGCGGCTCAGAGTCTCTGGTCTCTGGTCTCTGGTCTGTCATGTGGGTACGCAAATTACAACACATAACAAATGTCGACTGAACGACTGATTGCCAAACATGTCGACAATACAAGTCTCTCTCTCTCTCTCTCTGTCTCTCACTCTGTCTCTCACTCTGTCGCTGTCGGCTCTCCTTGTCCCTCCCTGTGTGCTCGTATGCCAGTTGGGAATTTATAATGGTTTTCTATTCTACAAGTCCCCGGCTCGCTCCCCCCTCCTCCTCCTCCTCATGCACACGCATTTCTAACAATAGAAGCACATAGAAGCGAAACGGCCTGATTTGAATTTTAGTTCCAATTTCCAATTTTCACTTTACAGATTCCAGTTCCAGTTTCGGTTTCGGTTCCAGCCACTTCCGCAGCCGCAGCCCTCGTATTGTTGTTTAGGTGCTGGCACTTTACGTTTCTGCATTGATTGCTTATATCTTGTTTGCTGGCTCCACAACCCCAATTTGAACCCAAATCAAATCTCAGTTGCCAACAGCTTCTCCTGCTGCTTCTTCCTTTCTACGAATTTCCATTTGAAAAGAAAATGCTGCAATAATTTGTATGGGAAATTGAATTTGATTTCATTTTTGAGTGCGCGGGCGTGGCACTGCCTTTTCTGATTGCCCCAGCCAGTCGCGTCGACTGCTGCCCTGGCCTGACCAGGCAGAGCCCCGCTATCAACACTCCGCTTTCATTTGGTACACTCAGCGAAATGGGAGTCATAGTTAAATTATAATTAATTATAATTAATTCTTAGTTCTTGTATTGGAGCTTCCTCTTCTTCCTGCATATAGCTAGCCATTTCTATGTATCCTATCTTGTCTTATATCTATGTCTTGGTAAAGTTTTCTCTGACAGACATGACATCCACTTTATAACTTTACTCTGCTTTGCTGTGGACAGGCTTCATACTTCTTAGATGTTTATTTAGCGAGAAAGAGAAAGAGGGAATATGAAGGGTCGAGACAGATAGAGACTGAGGTGGGGTATGGAGAAAGGCAGACCAGGTACAAGTGTAGCCTTATTCAACTAAATGCAACATTTTTGACGAGAGTGTGCTCAACGAGCAGTTACCTCGTTTAGGTATACAGAAAAGTTGTCTATTAAATGAACTAGTTCCTTTGGCGTATGAAGAAAAAGAGGCAGTCATAGGCACATAAATAAGAGCCATCATCATCGACTCGACTTAAGTCTAGCCAGGTCATACCCTCTGCTCTTTCAAAACTTTAATGGGTATAGAAGAGCGCTCGAGCGCCTGAGCGCCCAAGTAGTTCAAGATGAATCTTAATTAAAAATGTGACGTGTGGCCGCATTATAAAATCTAAAGCCTTGTCCCCTTATTCAAGGCGCAGTTTAGTTTCTTCTCTTTTTTTTTACCCCAACAAAGCACTAAAGCGTTTTATGCATATGCCACGTCCAGACTTAGATTTAGATTTAGATTTCTCTAAGCATATGAAATTTAATGGGATGTGTGGATCTAGATAAACTTTATAGACGAGTTCAATGGTCAGTCAAATAGTTCATGGAACAATCGAGTTACTCAATAGAGAGTTTCGTTCGATTGAATAACTGAACTTTCCTTCATTGACCAGTAAAGGCAGTGCTGGTTCATCGAGCTGGTTCAGTTCAGTCAGTTCAGTAATCTCATTAAAACTAGAAAGTTTATTGAACTGGTTCGCAACTGAATTAGTTCATTGTTTACTAAATGAGCTAATAAGATGGGATGGAACAAATGAACTAGTTCTCGGGCAAAGTGTATTATTATTTTAATTGAATTTGAGTTGTCATAGTTCACGGAACTAGTTCCGTTCCGTGTATCTAAAAATAAGTTGTCAGCTCACTTACCAGTTGGGCTTGGCGTCAAGGACATCATGTCGAAATGTATGTTCTTCTGCTCGAAGGAGTAGTCCTTGAGGAAGGTGAGCTTGGCGCCGCGAGTCTTCGTCAGCCCGGTGACCGCATTGTTGATGCTGCGCAAATATTCGCGCTTGCCGAAATTCGTGTGCGGCGCAATCAGGCCGATGTTCAGCTGCTCCTTGTTGGCGCCGACGCCCTTGCTCAGGCTGTTGCCGCCGTTGGTCAGCCGCAGAGCATCGGTGTGGGGGCAAGCACAGAGCATGCACATTAGCAGCGGCAATGCCAGCCACATCTTTGTCGACCAACAGCAGGTGTTGCTGGTGCGTGTTGCTGCTGGGCAGCTACTAGTATTGCTATTGTGTTTGCTATTCCTGTTGGCAGTGTTGCAGTTGTTGTTGTTACAGTTGTTGTAGGTTATATCCATTGCTGCATTGATATGAGCATTGGCAGCAATTGCAGTTGTTGTTGTTGCTGCCGTTGCAATGAAACTCTTTTTGCTCTCTGTTGCTGGTGCTGTTGCTGTTGCTGATGTCGCTGTTGCTGTTGTTACCTCTGTCGCAGTCGCTGTTACTGTGGCTGTTGCTGCTGATGTTGCTGTTGTGCTTGGTCTACATTTCAGCTTAACTTTTGTTCTGTTGCTGCCGCGCATCAGCTGCCTGTTTCTACAGTTGAGCTTTGTATTATTGTTGCAGCTGTTGCTGTTGCTGTGGCTCTGGCTCTGGCTGTGGCTGTTGCTGTCGTGTTGCTGCCGCACAGCATGTTGCCTTAATTCGACCATTACCTGCACAATATGCTCGCTGATATTGCCCGTTTTTCCTTGCCTCAATTAGTCCCGTCGGCTCTTCCTGCTGCTGCTGCTGTTGCTGTTGCTGTTGTCGGGTTTCCTTACTGTATTTTTTTTCGTGTTGCTGCTGCTTAATTTGCTTGTATGTTGCTGTTCATTTTCTCACACTCGCTCTGCAGCTGGCTCGCGGCATAGATTTAAATAGCTTTGTTTATTTCTTGTTGGATGGATTGGGTTCATAAGCAGTTGCACATCATCTTCAGCTATGTGAAAAACGCGCTATTGTTGCTGTTGCAGCTGTTGTAGCTGGGCTTAAATTATGTTCTCTATTATGCATTGCTAATTTCAAGCACGCAGCAAGTGAAAGTCATTTCCTCAACACCCGCATACACACACACACACACACACACACACATGCATACACACGCATACATGTTTGCATAAACTTGCTGTTGGGCAACAGCAATAACAGTAGCAACAACAACAGCTACAGCAGCAACAGCATCGCCCACAGCGCCAACAACAGCTGTGTAACGACTTGACGCTTTCCGTTTCCGTTACCTAATTTGTTGCTTGTTGTTTGAATGGCAACAGCAACATGAACAATTGAGGGCTGCAGCTGTTGCTGCCGCCGCTGTTGATGTTGCTGTTGCTGTTGCTGTTGCTGTCGGTGTCGGTGTTGGTGTTGGTGTTGCTGGCAGCAATGGCTGCCGCCTCACTGTACACAGGATGTGCAGTGTATGTATTTACGGGCGCACAGGTGGCAATCGTTGTTGCTATTGCTGTTGTTGTTACTGTTGTTGTTGCTGTTGGTGTTGTCGGTAGATTAGCTCAGACAAAATGAGCTCAGTGTATAATTCAATTTAAAGCTCTCTCACATTGAGTATTAATACAAGCATATACATATATAGCATTGCATACACATACACACACAAAGACACACACACACACACATACACACAGGGCGATTGTTGCTATAATTAGTTGCTTTGACTTTGAAAAACTTTGCATTAGTCCAGCTGACCTCATTGCTCTGCCCCGACTGTCCCTTTGCCCATGAAGCCAGCAACAACAGCAACGGAAAGAAATTGAAGCATGGCCTAGCACAATGCTAGCTGAGGGGCGTGGCAGTTGCTGTCTGTCAACTTGTCTGCGATTTGTATTGTCGCTGTGGGCGCTCATCATTCTATTGTTATTAATACTCTTATCGTTGTATTTATATTGTTGTTATTATTATTATTATGAGTGTCATTCTCACTAAGAATTATCATTAGACAGTATCAAGATAAGCTAATATATACTAGTCATTATCATCATCATTAACATTAGTGTTTGATTATTTGTATCGTCGTATTATTATCAGTATTACTCTCATTATAATTATTTATGTACATTAGTCATCATCATTAGCGTTCTCATCAGTCGTCATCATTAATCATTGGTTATCATCATCATGATCATTCTCAATCTCATTAGTCATCATCATTATCATCATCATCAATACTTTTTGTCAGTATCATCGTCATTGTCATTGTCATTGTCACTGTCATTGTCATTACGCACAATTATTATTATCATTGATATTGCTCACATCAGTATTATTATTCCTATGATTCTCCAAATTTCTGCTGATACTCGAAATATTGCCAAGTAGTTAAAGTTATTTATCTTTTGGCTTGGGCGTCGCCGCTGCTGCTTCAGTTTGGGCGTTGTGTTTGGGAGCCTGCGTTGGGCTGGGCCAACGTTAGGGCTGGGACTCTGGCTGAGGCTGGGGCTAGGGCTGGGGCTGGGGCTGGGGCTGGGGCTTGGGCCTGGCTGCTCTACGAAAGTTTTTTCTACGTCAGCACTTCAGTCGGCCTCGCTCGCGCCGCCTTCGCTGGCGCTCGTGTTTGCTCGGCTTGCAGTCTGGAGCTGAGGGCGTAGCTGCGTTGCCACTGGAACTGCGAAGCTGGCCGACTGACACTGGAGCCATTTTCATGCCAGCACCCCAGGCGCCCAGCCCAGGTCCACCACACTCACTCCACCAATTTGTTGGGCGTCATGTTGGGTGACTGGCACTGCCTTAAACTGTGTTTTTTCCCACTTAGTCGCTGTCAATAAGCAGCCAAACTTATGCATATGTGTATGAGTGTATGTGTGCGTGTGTGTGTGTGTGTGTGTGTGTGTTTGGGTCTGTATCTGAACGCTTTGCTGTTGACCCAATGCTGCTACAGGACAAAGCAGTGATTACTTTTGCGGACTGACTGCTTGGTTGTTCGGCTTAGGCCGCAACAACAGCTGCATTACAGTCAAAGACATAGAAGGTCATAGCTAACCAATAGACACACTCTCACACACTCACACACACACACATAGACTTAGCCATAAAATGCGTCGTCTTTTCTTTTCCTACAATATATCCTATTTTGTTGCCGTCGTCTATGTCTATGGGAGCGTCTGAGCCTATGCTTCAGCCCCCACACTCACACACTATGTATGTATGTGTGCTTGAGCCGTATATAGATATACTCATCTATATGTGTGCGCTCGTAACAAGGCAGCAATAAATTGTGTCTTATGAAAGGCAAATAAAAAGGCCGACATTGGCTGCTGGGCTGCTGGGCTGCCAGTCTTTGGGCATTCCACTGGCTGCTTCAGCGGCATGTGGCATGCGGCATGCGGCATGCGGCATGTGGCATGTTGTGCATACGCAACGTTGAGCGCTATACAACTATATGCCACATAGATGTACGGCGCACCTGCCCGCTACCAGCCAGCTCCTCCTAACTCACGCCCATTTGTCGTTTGCCCTCACATAGTTTGAGTGTCCTGCTCAATCGGACGTGGAATGAATTTAGATACAGTAAAGACTCCCCCAGCTCTGTTGGGCTGTTTGAATTGTGACACAGAGACGTCAAGAGCTGCAGCATCAGGATCATCGTCATGTATATTCGTAGTATAATTATTAGCATTACAGTTATTTGTAGTATTATTAAAACCATTAATCATAGTCATTATCATCATCGTCGTTCTCATCATTGCCATTAGACGATTGTCATCATCAACATCATCATCACTATTTGTATAAACATTATTGTTCATCGTTGTCATTATTATTATTATCGTCATTATGAGTCATGATCATTATTTAACATCATCAGTCATCTTCATAAGTCATCGTTATCAGGCTTAAACAGTCATTATCACCATTATTATTATTGTCATCATTAGTCATGGCCATCGTTATTATCATTATCATTATTCGTGTCATAGTCATTAGCATTGCATCAGTGTAACTGTAGTAATTGTTACAGATTTTCATAATTCAAAAGTGGGTCAAAGTTTTCCTATAAAAGTACTGGAATATCCACTTCATGATGGGACTGATGTTACTAAACGAGGTCTTGCCATAGTTGAGCATACTCGTCCGCTAGTCTGTCTATCTATCTATTTGTTGCTGTTGCAATGGCATTATCATCATCAACTGTCCCTTGGCGCTGTTTCGTTGGCAGTTTTATGACTTTTACTATGGACCCTCATTCAACACACACACAAATGCACACAAACACACACACATACACAGCAATACACACGTGATATGGGGAAAAAAACATAAGGACTCAGCGCGCCTTTTGGCTGCGCGACAGTTTTTCCAATTTTTTTTTCCTTTACTTGTTTTCTATTTAGTTGATGCAGACACTGCCACGCCCACATGCCCAGACGCCCACACTGGCCTCACTGCCCTCACTGCCCACAGTGACAGTGGGCAAAGGTCGGTGCAATTTTGTTTGCTGCTCTTGCGGCTGTTGTTGTAATGTGTTTGCCTATTTCATGCGCTCTGCTGGTCTTGTGATGTGGGCCAACTTTTGCTTTCAATTTACCTCGCTCTTCCCACTCACACTCACACTCACACTCTTTCGTTCGCTCGAGCTCTCACCCTCTCTGTCGCCCACTCACACTGTCCTTCACCTTCTTCTGCTAGTCGTAAATCGACAGTGCGTCGACCGCTGTCAACATGCGTCTTGTTACGAATATTTCGCTTATTGTTGATGTTACCGTTATTGTGTTCCGTTACTCCGTTTTTGTTGTTACTGCTTATTAGTTTCTTTGTTGCCTTTTTTGTTTTGCGCTGTGCTGCTGCTGCCGCTGCTGTTGTTGTTGTTGTTGTTGTCGTCGCCCTGCTAGACGTGTCAAAAGCCAGCAGCGCAAAGGAAGACACAAAAAAAAAAAGAATAAAGAAAATGGAGAGCAGCCAAACAAAACGAAAACAAAAACAAAAACAGAAACAGAAACAAAAACTCTGGCAGCCAAGAAAAATTGGGGCGTGTTATCTTTTTGACGTTGATGATGCGCAGCAGCACCAGCAACAACAACAACAGTAAATGGAATGCTAAAGGAGCAGCTGTGTAGTTGTTCACTTTACACACACACACAAACACACACACACACACAATTAATTTATTTGATAAACCATCACACACAGAATATTGTGTTTTTTTCTATTTGATTTGCTCTGTGCAAATGTGTGTGTGTGTGTGTATGTGTGCGAATGTGTGTGTCAGCAGTAATAATAATGGAGGCGTGGTTGCTGTTGCTGCTGCTGCGACTGTAGCTGTGGCTGTGGCTGCCTTTCAAAAAGAGGGGCTCGTGCCTCGGTTCGGCATCTACTTAGCATTGAACTTTGATCTACCGTTATTTATTTTTGTTTTCTTTTTAAGCACACTTTGAGCTACACTTGAAAAAAAAGTAATCAAGAAAAACATTTCTAGCACTGTTTCAATTATTCGTATTTACTTTTGATGATTTGATTGCCTACTTACAGGCGTCACTTGGTCAAGCAAGGGCAAAGCCAAGGCAAAGGAGGCGTGGCTCCGGGCTTTCACTGCTGAGCTAAACGGTTATCATTTCGTTCAACAGAAACAAAAACAGAAAAAAAAGATACAATTCTGCACTGCATCTGCAGTTGTCATGCACTTTTGATCACTGTGCACTCATTGCTGTTATTGTTGTTGTTGTTGTTGTGGTTGTTGCCGTTATTAGTTTTAGGCTGTGTGCGAAAGCACATCCAAGGAGAGAGGGGGACAGGCGACAGCAGAGGTCGGTTAGGTAGCGAGCAAAGAGAAATACAGCAGCAGCAGCAGCAGCAGCAGTAGCAGCATCGGCAGCAGCAGCGACAGCGACAGCAGAAAATGAAACAAGAAACAAGTCCACACCCAAAAATTCAAAGACACGCACAACGTCGACGCCGACGGCGGCGCGTACACACACATACACCCATATACATAGACGAACACATTCACACACACACACGCTCACACACATACACTTTAATATGTATTTATTTTAGTGAGCTGAATTTTGTGGCCTGGATTTGCGCTAACTGTTCTTTTTTTTTAACATTGTTTTCGCTCACTTCTTTATTGTCATTTGTTTGCTGGGCCATGCACGAGAGATGGATATACATATGTATGTATATGTTTTTGGTTTTAGGTTTAATTTTAGTTTTGTTTTATTTTTTTGTTTTTTGTTTTTCGCTTGTTTGCTTACATTCACTGTTAGTGTTTACTATTGACTGCTCCTCGGTTAGATCAGTCCGACCGCCAGCTACGCTACGTGCCTAGTCGTTTAACAGTTAACGTTTGGTTTGAAATGTTAGGGTTTCGTTTAGAGATGGGGTCTGGGGTCTGGGTCTATGTCTGGGCTGTCGTTAACCTCGTCGCGCGTTTGTGAGCCCCACCGCTGACGAAATGCGACGCTGCCAATGCGGACTGAATGCGACGAGCAACGAAGTGGCACTGCCAACCCGGGACACAAGCATAGCCTTAACTACCAGCAGCAGCATCAGCATCAGCATCAGCAGCAGCAGCAATCGCAGCCTCAGCGACAGGCTCTGAGCAAAATGGATGCTGATTACGAAATTTACAAAAACGTTACACACACATACACACTATTACGCTCTCGCTGTAGTCCTCTGCCGCATGCCCTACACTCGGCTGCCCTACTCTCTCGTTCGTCAATGTCAAAGGAGCGCGCAGGCTTACGTTTACACAGCCGCACCATAAACAACAAAAAAAAAAGTAGCAAAAAAACGCCCTCTATATTGCGTATATGTGTGTCGAAGTCTCTCTCCACGTGCCAAACCCATTTTACTAACTCTCGCCCTCACTCTCTCTCTCACTCTCTTTTACAGGCTTTTACGGTCCCCACCCGTCGCGCTGCTCAAATTACAAGCGCTGCCAGCTAGTTTACACTTGGAATTTCTAAATATTGCACATGTTATGTATGTTTAGTTTGGTAGTAGTCTGGCAACGCTGCCATTGCGGCTAACCATTGCCAATTGACAAGCGTAAGAGTGACAGAGAGAGGCAGAGAACCAAAGAGAACGTGCCAACTGCGCAAGTCTGAATAAACAACAACGACTGCGTCAGCAGCGTAAACCGTTGGCATACGCTGAGGTCAGAGCTCGGCTGTTTGGAACTTCGGCTTCGGCGCTTGATACTCGGCTTCAGCATCGTTTTAGCGTCGATTCGTCAATTCGTGTTTGCTGGCTGGCAAGGCTGCGAAAACCACGTGTTGATTTGTTTTGATTATGCGCATTTTGCCTTTGAAACTTTTTTAATTGAATCCTTTGCGGAATCAAGCAGCGCGCAGAGACAGAGTCCATGCACACGCACACTAGCATAGCCCTGCCGTCGTCTTCTCCTTCGCATTTGCCTTGCCTTTGCCTTTGCCTTTGTTTTCTTCTTCGCTCATGTGCAACGTCGTCGTCATTGTCGAGGTTGTTGAGGCTTTTGGCTTTGACTTCGGTTTTTCGGTCGCTATTCCAGCCGCTGTCGTCGATTCGTTGCCAGGCTCTATATCTCTCTGCATGTGTGTGTCTGTGTGGCTCTGTCTGTGTGTGTGTGGGTGCGTGTGAGGTGGTTTCCATGCGTTCTCGGCGTGTAAACGGTTTTGCGGCTTTCGCTCAGTCTCAGCCAAGTTGGTAAATTAATAAATTGCCTGTATAAACGTGGCCCCCGAGTGGGGTCTTTTACACGAAATTTGATCGAGCAGCGGCAGGGACAAGCGATTAGGCCTCACTGTTGACGTGCCCATGATAGATGCTGTCTCCTTGCCCCAGCTAGAGAGTGAGATTAAGCGAGATTAGGCCTACTCCTCTCCAAATATTAGTTTCGGTTCGAGGCTCAACTATTGAAAGCTCCCTCGTGCCATCTAATAATGTATTAGGCAGTCTGTGTGCGTTTATGTGCGTGTGCTTGCTTTGATTGCTTGGGTAGGCAATGAAAGGACATTCAAGCTGCTGACAATCAAATGTGGTCATTTCCTCAAAGCGCACCTACATATCGTAACACCATAGTTTGGCCTTATCGTTATCATCATCATTAAAAATAAGTGAAAGTCGCCTCAATATCGTTATCAATAATTCTCATTATCATTATCCTTATTGATTGCACCAACATTATCATTGGTATTGACATCGTCAACAATATTATTATTAGCATTAGCATTAATTGTATTAAACGTAATACTGTCGATTTCATTAGACATCACATCGCTATCACAACTCAACAGCAATTATCTCTTTCGTTAGAGCTCACTTGCATATTTACAATATAGTCGCGACACGTCAGTCGTCAATTTAATTTGCCATCACTCAGTGACATTATTATCATAGTTATTAAATACAAAATTTGTTCTTGGGCGTTGCCAGAATACTTGTATATATGTTGGTTATAAATTTCATAAATTTCAAATTTCAAGAGCAGGGCGGAATACCCAAGTGTCTATATATGTATCTATGTATGTATGTATGTGTATGTATGTGTGTGTGTGTGTGGTCGATTAAAGCAATTTTCCACATCATCGAATTGTGCTCAATGAGCAGGACGTGCGTCAATAAGGCAGCGCCCGCAGGATACGCAATCTGAGCATAGTTTTCTTTTTTGCTTCTTCCCGTTCTCTGTTTCCTCGTCGTCATCTTCTGTGTCTTCTATTTTGTGAGTGTTTTTTGCGTTGCCATGAAATTTGCATAATTAACCTGGCCAAAAAGCCAAATGTCGACTGCAAAGCAATTAAATAACGTTTATTCAACCGGTGCGAATCGGTGGACTCGAGTCGAGCTAAGCGCCGGCTGCCAATGAGATAATGATTTAATTGTTGATAATTAATGAACCGCGATTTACACTAGCCATCATTACGGCTACGGCAGCTGCTAGCGCGTTCCGGCTGGATCATTACGTATACGCCGCATCGGCTGCCATAGGACAATGGGAAAAGGGCGCAGGAAATGCCTTCGCACATGGAAAACAAAGCCAAACAAAGCTGCTATGCGATTGGGTTACCATAAATCATAACAGAGAATAGGCAGTCGAAGCGTGGCAGTGTGGGGGTGTGGGAGTGGCAGAGAGAGCGAGCGAGAGGGAGACAGAGGAAGGCTCGGAATCGAATGGCAGAAATACATGAATTCGTTTGGCTTTTAATGCCGCCGGCTAAAGTAAATGAAGAAGCGCTGATACCAAGTCATACACCCACTCACACATACACACACGCACACACACAGATAGAGAGGGAGTGTGAGAGGGAGAGACATGGGCTCAAGTTAAGTGTTGAGCGTGGAAACGCATAATGCGCAGATCAAACACATTTCACTTGCTGCAGGCGTCGACAGCGAAAGCGGTAAACAAGCAAACAGCGGCTGGCTAGAGAGATACCCTGTATAAATAGACTAGGCTTTAGTAAGTACTACTTAGACTACATCCTGATTACTGATGAATGTGTAAAGCTCTTATAGTCCCCATGTAAATTACAATAGTTCTAGGCATTACGACTGCTCTATGCAATATACTGGTTATATTAACCAACAATTCATACCCTAGTAAAGTGGAAAACATCTTGTATTGCCAGATCACAGTTCTCAGTGTGTTTCGCCCAATATGCCCCAGCCCGGAACGGACCTCTTTGCAGGGTATAAATGGATGTACTCAAGTAGAGGCAAAAGCAAACTTAAAAGCAAATCGCTGAGCATTGGCTCAGTCAATTAAGTGCAGGAGAAAGATTCATTTTGATAAGTTCACGTATTCACGTATATTAAACACGTGTCAATCTCTAGCAAATCGTGCTATGTGCTATCGCAAAGAACTAGTTCCATGTCACATTCGAAATGGAAGTGATATAGGGGCAGGAGGTGATGGATGTGAATGTTGTCAGATATATTGAATCACGGTTCGCACAGTGATTCTTATTATTGACTTATTCAATTGAAATAGGCAGTGAAATGCAAAAATGAGCTAGATCTTCACCAACTCGAGAGTGAACTTTATAACCATTTGGTTCATTAACTTCGTTCAGTTCAGTTAGATGTATGTATATGCTCAATGAAAAAGAACTAGTTCCATGTCACACTCGACATAGTTCAGAGATTATTCAATTGAACTAGCCAGTGAAACGAACAGCTGAGCTGGTTCAGTTCAGTGATTTCCTTGGTTCACTTAGGATTTCCCATGGCATGCGTGTCTCTGAGTTATTCAGCTGTTGCTTCAAGAGTGTCTGACTTAATTGAGTTAGTGAACTAGTTCATTAAATTCAAACACTTTTCGCAGTTCTAGTTTCAGTTTTTCATCAATTGTTTCGACTTTTCCCGCAGAACATGAAATGCTGCATACCCTTAGGCGCGCAAAGCATATGTCATCTCTCTCTGTGTGTGTGTGTGTGCGTGTTTGCGTGAGTTTGCTTGACTTCACAGGCTGGCACTTGCGGGAATCGACAACAAAGCATCAGGGAGGCAGGCAGGCAAGCAGCTTGCGTGTGACAACTACATTGACAGGACACCGATTTCAATAAGAAACGGCATGGACAAAGAGTAGGAAGATAGTGAGAATGGGCGTGTGTGTGGGGAGAAGGCGAGAATGTGGTTGTGTGGAATGCTAAGCTCGCTAACAACTCAAACAACACAGCACACGACAACAATGAAAAACTGAGATATAAAATGGACGGAAAATGCGAACGTGCGAATACCCTTCATATGGAAAGCAGGAGAAGGGCTGGATTCTAGAATGGAGGGGAAGAGCAGAGAAAGGGATGGGAGATGCAGAGAGAAGAAAGAGGCGGGAAATTAGATACAAGAGGAAAGAAGAAACAAGACGGCATAGAGATATGAGAGGAGGGCTCTGTGAGAAGAGGGTCAAGCGGAAGAAAGTAAAGGCAGAAAGGAAAAGAGAGCGAAGAGATGAGAGAAAAGGGTTGACATAAGGTAGTGGAAAGGGAGGAGGGACGAGAAAGAGGAAAGTGGGAGTTAGAGAAAACATCTCAGCATAGTGCCTGACTAGTCAATAGTACCCTGTTGTAGGGTATTCGAGCAAATAAACAAGCAGCAAGGCAAATGGCAAACTGACAGCTAAAAGCGTCGACCAGACAGGTACTACGTATTCGTGTGTGTGTGTGTGTTTGAATGTCCCTGTGCGAGTCCATGTCGAAGTCCTTCTGCTTGACTAATGTTTGCTCAGCACGCAGTTGTCGGCTTTTTGGCTTTGCCGATATGCGCCAGCCTCTACTTTCACTTTGAGTGTTTAGCTTGATGCGAAGTTAAACTGAACACACACACACACACACACCTATACACACTTATACATATACATAGCACAATTTGTGCTGTTCGATTTGTCGAGCTACTCGTCTTTGCATCTTCAATTTGCAATTTGAATTTGTGTTTATTTAGCTACATCTACTTTTCATGCTGGTTCATGGAGCGCAAAAGGGGCATATTGGTTGATTAAGGGAACGACAGAAGATGCAGGATGGAAGCTGGGA